TAATTAACTTCCTGTCAAAATATAGAATTTCTACCCATTTTCTATCCGTGCTGTCTGGATTTTCCCAAGTCCCCCAGAATCTGATGAGATGGGGCAAACCAATTCTTTGATTACTCAGCCTGCTTATTTTTCTGTCCAAGTTCGAAGTCAATGAAGCCTGGCTGTCTTTGCACTCAGAAGGAACGGAGATGATGAGACAGAGATACGTAGGGTATTCCTGTGACAAGTGTGTCAGCCTTTCCCTTAGTACATTTCTCCTGTGGTTTTTGCGGTATCCAGTATGATACACATCATTCTCATTGCTGAGTACATTCATTTCATCTGATGCCTGATGTCTGTCTCTTGTTTATTAGTTGCACTGTTGACACACTCCATAAACCTAAAAGCAAGGAATTTATCATGAAAACATAGGTATTACCAACAACACAACAGTAAATCTTTGTACAGTGGTCAAAGAGTCAAATATTCCTAGCGGGTTTTTTTGCAGTAGCTTTGCTGTTCTATCAAAAAGGGTGGAAAAGGGAGTGGAGCCCAGTGGTATTGCAGAGATGAGTCCTTCACAGTCTTTCCTCCAGAAATCACTCCAAGTCCCCAGCACAAAAGAGGAGCTCTTTAGCTATGGCTGTAGATTTGATACCCTTGTGCATCTCACAAACCTCTTGGGTGCAGGAATTGCTCTCAGGCCTCGGGGACAGACATCTTCTGCAAAAATTGTATTAAGGAAGAAAGTCCAGAGACAGTCGTTTCAGAAGTAGACATTGGGGATGCCAGCAGAGCAGTGAAGCTACAGGGGTATGTGGTGGAAGGGAGAAGTTGGACAACCCTGTGAGGTATATTGTTTATGTAGGGTTTGAACATCCTGACCCCAGTTTTCTTGGTGGAACAGGAAGTGCTCTCATGCTTCCTGCTTAGACAATTGGTATGTTCTTTGGGTGAGGGTACTGACACATGGCAAGAGAAGGAAGGCAGTGCAGAGCTGGTTTGGACCGGCCTCTAGCAGTCATGGCTGTAACATTTCTAGGACAGAGCTGATCTATCATTAGCACTAGTGCTTTTATAAAGCACGGAGCTCAGGCTCAGAGATCCTGCAGGACCGCTGACTGTTGGCATGGACCATGTTTCCCACAACTGTGGGTTCTCAGGAAGGTTTGTCAACCTGGGCATGATGTCAGCCTCAAACTACCTCTGGGTACTTAAGAGGGTCTGCATGCTGACAAGTAAGCTTCCTGGAGCGTGGGGCACTTGGGAGCAGGAGGGAGATACCTAAGGAGTTCTCCTGATGACAGCATGGGTCCAATGGGACTGACACTGATCCACAGCCAATGGGCTCCAGCTGAATGGACCTGATTACGCCACTGGGCATCTGCACTCAATATACTCACCAGCATTTTTCAGCTGTAGGGCATTTTTCTGAAGCTACTAAACATTGTGAGACAAAAGGCTACACAGGCTTTGTCCCACCTCTTACCTTCCTTATCTGCTCCACCGATTGCTGTGTTCCCCACAGTTCCCTTATTCTGCTATCACAGAAACCCCGGAGTACTTCACGTCCAGGAGGTGCTGCGTGCTGTCTGCCTGGTTGAGCAGTGAGCTAGTAAGCCTTCCTGGACTTCAAAGCAGTGGATGTCGGCATAAGATGCTCAGAAAGCATTGGGACTTTGCCGGAGGTAACCAGCCCAGATAGACTCAAGCTTATAGATGTTGATCAGATTATTTAATGTAGCCCAGAAACAGCTTGGCTATTCTGCTGACAACGGCAGTGCAAAATTGGTGGAAAGCAGTAACTTTACTGGCTAGCAGGAGTGCTCCAGACTTACCCAGACAGGCAGTGGTCTTTAGTTACTTGTTTACATTCTGTTTCTTCAGTAATACAATAAATATCAAGTAACTCTTCTGGAACTTGAGATAGGGATCTGTTGCATTTTTTCGTCTTGGCACAAATACTCTTTATTAAAAACAAAAATTGGGGGAGGAGGGGGAGCTGAAACCAGAAAACTTATCATAGATGCTTCTTCTGTTAGAGTGAAGTAAACTGATAATATTTGTAGATTTGACTTCATTGTAGTTTGCACAAATGCCCAGATAGCAGTAGTCCACAGGTTCCTCTTTTCTGCCCATTGCAGTCTTCAGATTTTCCTCAAAGTGACTAAAAGCAGACAACAGTTTATTACTCATTTAGTTTGACTATACAATACATGGCTTATTGCGTCTTACTCTTTGAGCAGCCTCACTCCTGTTTAGAAAAGTCCTTGGCATTTTTATATATTGCAAATATATTGGCAAATGCAAAAGATACTTCTGTGCTCAACTTATGTCCTCTGTGGGCTTGGTTGTGCCATTTCTAACAAGATCTCAGTAGTCGGAGAGCGCAGAAGGGGCTCACTTGAGGTGGCCACCTGTAATGGGGGGACGAGCCCCTCTCGGGCATCCTCCGTCTGGCAGAAAGGCCATGTGAGCAGCTGACCAGAGTGGTGTGCATCTCAGCTGATGCTCGTTAGCTGCTTTTGGTTTACAGCTATCCCATTAAAGTAAAGGTGTGGTGGTGGTAGGGCTATACTGCTATTTATTGATTGAGGGCCAAGAGACATGTGCCTGTGCAGCTTTAATGCTTGAGAGGAAGGAGCCCCAGGCAAGCGAGACAAGAGAGAGGGAGAAAAAAATTAAAATAAAATAAAGATGTCTTTCTTTGCTTATAGGGACTAGTGGTGCCTTTGGACCTGTAATGTCCCAGAAGAGTCCAAGAGGCTGGGGAGGCAGAGGAGGAAGTGGGCTGCCAGGACTGCAGCGGGCAGCAGAGCTGTAGGCAGCGGTGGCGGCTGCTCGACTGGCCAGTGACCAAGGCCACTGCCTGGATCGGGAGCCCTGCCATGGCCTAAATACCAACCCCTGGAGCACCGGGATGCATCCAGGCCAGAAGGATAAGCTGGGAGCGGGTGCAGCTACTGGTTGGGGCAGGGCGGCTGTTTTACCAGCTGCGCAGTGCTGGGAGTCAGGATTGGGTCAGGACGGGTACCGGGTCAGCAGATGGCTATTTTTCCTATTAGTTAAGCAGGTTTTCCAAGTTTATGTGTTGATGTATTTTTTTCTCTTCTCTGGCCTCTCTCCTTGGGTCAGAAAATGTGTACGTCTAGAGCCCTTTTGTTTAGCTCTCAGCTCGAGGGCGGGAAAAAGTTACTCACGGCTGAGCTCTCGGGGTATAATTTAATTTCCTGGGTCTGCGGCTAGTGATTTAAACTGATGTCACTTAGGAGTTTTTTAGCAAGAGCACCTAGAAGCTGAATTGGCGGAAATGATATGGTAAGTTACAGGTATGTTTTCTTTGAAAATGAGTAACAAATGTGAATGCTACCAAGAACCAGGAACTTCAGTTATTTTGTGTGTACTTTAGTGTTATCTGCGCTGATCAGTCTCCCCAGTCTTTGGTTGTCTTTGTTTTCATTTTCGCATGAACACAATGATGGTGCTTTTAGACTGAGGTATTTCAGGCACTATGTCTTACGCAATTTGCTCTTAAACAGCTGAGACATGGGTGCCTATCTGTGTATGACAAGGATTAGTTTATTGCTTATTTAATAGAGATCTTGAAAACTTGTTTATATCTGTTTACATACAATTTCTTCAACAATTCGGATTGCCTAAGGCTACGGCATGTTCCCTGTGCTTATGTGCAGTGTGTAACCCCCATGTGGCCTCAGGCAAATGGAGTGGTTAAAAGATTTATGCACTGTGCAGATAAACAAAATCTGGGAGAATTTCCCTGAGGCTTTGCCTGGATTGGCAAAATGGTGTGATTTTAAAACATGGTAGTTAGTACCTGGAATTTCTCATAGAAGCTGGTTTGATGAGGAAAAACCTGTATGAAAGAACCAGGGTTTTTAATGAAAAACCCCTCCTAGGTATATGTTCACAGCTTGCCCTCTCTTACTTTTTATAAGACAGTGACTACTATCACTGAAATACAACCCTTTTTTCTAGTGTAGACGTAACCTGAGAAAATAAATACCTTGAAGACTTTCAAGAATTTCCCTGACCGGAGGATGCAAAGGACACGCCAGACGGAGACGGAGATTTGGGGAATTTCTCTTTCCGGTGGAAGGAACAAAGAGGAGGCTGGCAAAATCCCCTGAGGGTTTAGATCCTGCCCTGACCCTTATCGAGGATTTCCTGGAGCTCGGTATCAATGGGAAAAACTTCCACAGGCTGAAAAATGTGAGGATTTCACCTGCAACGTGCTTCCCTTCTTCTGGTTTTGTGTTGAAGCCACAAAACTCTTTTTTTTTTTT